GTATTGAGTAGTTTATGTACATACATTCCAAAAAAAATCTCTTGATCGATTATTAGATGTTTATCTATCAAATGTTGTTAAAATATTTGGAGAATTTGTTTTCGGGTTATTTCATTTATTTTATTTGTACAATTGAATTTGAAAAAAAAATAATAATAATAAATATTAGGAACAAGAATGAAAATAATATATGTATATAATTTATTTTTGGCTATTTCATTAATTTCATTTGTAGAATTGAATTTAAAACCCAGCCGGACGGGGCCGACCCTATGATTCCCTACACAACTTCTGTTACTATTATTCAGTACAGCCCTTTAATTACTTGTCTAAATTCCCTTCACAGTGGGTTATGTTGTGAAGTTCGAAAAAACACAAAATTAAGTTTTCGGTCCACGTTATCCCAAAATTATTATCTAATCATCACCGAAAATTATAGGCGTTGTCCTTGACCATAATTGGAACCTCATGGAACATTTCAAAGCGATCAGCGCTATATTTTCGCCCTCCAGTGTGGTAATGGGTTACTAAATAATATCTGAATACCTAAATATTTCAGTGTAACTCCCACATCCGAGTACATACGACAATATAATTGGTATAAATTTGAAAGTCAACCACTCCTCTTGAATATATTATCAAATTCTTGGGTCTATGTTCTTCAGGTGTAAATATATACGCTATAGAATACAAATGTTGTAATTTTTCAAACAAAAGTCAGGTCGATCTTTCTTAATGTGCTTAAATTATCCTCTCTTGCTTTGATAAATTTCAAATTTATGGGGAACATTCTCAATTGTTCGTTGCATCTGTTCGTTATTACCCTTCAACTCCGCAGATAGATTCAAGTAGGATTTCTTATGACATTTGATTGATGTATACGTATACTTGACTTATTACACAGTTCAGTGACTGGTACTACACACACACTGTGTGTATGCATTCATCATTATGACGACGACTGACGGACGTACTTACTCTGACTGTTATCAATTTGGAAAAACCCTTTTGGGAAAAGCCATTAAAAAATCTACTTGAGATATTTAGAAATTGCATTGAACAGCGTCGTTTTTAGTTCTACCGTGCATCATCACGCAGTGCTTGAACTTTGTAATGTGTAATTTTAAGCACAAAAAATACAAAATAAAGAACAAACGAACAAAATATATATATTCAGTGTGTGTTAAGAATACAAATATTCGCAAATATCTTTGATGGATTTCAAAGTGCTTTTGAAAACCACTTGAATTAATAAGGAAATTCCATTTGCTTTGAAGAATTGTGAATTGTCTGTTGTTTCTTTGCAATTACGGATGCAAACAACTGTCAATAACCAATCGGTTTTTTGATATTAAAAAAAAACAAATCACTTTTAATTTTCTTTTAGCCATTCTTCAAATAGATTTAATTTATGCCAAAACTTGCTGGGCAAGCTTAAGAAAAAATACAACTACGTCTTGTTCTGTTCTCACATTTCTTTTGGCCTGTTTTGTTGTTTGTTTTCAATAATACGTTCTTGTCTCAACCAGATTACTCACAGAGTTGTGCTTAAAGTGTTTGTGTGTGCTGTGGTTGGTTTCATGTGTTGTTTGGGAAATCCCCAAAACAATGTTTTCATCTTTCCAATTTCTATTGACAATGGCGTAGACAGACTGATCTACAGCTTTTGTTTGGTGTGAACTCTAATCTATTCATTGAAGTTTTTTGTTTTCACACTATTCCTTTTTCTTTCTTCACCAGCCATCAAAACTTGAAAGTTTTGAAAATGTTATGTTTGAATTTGTTAACACCAAAGAAAAAAAAATAACTAGAATAATTTTTGGAAAGAAGAAATCTTATTATAGATAATGAATAATTTATGTGTTATTATTTTATTAATATTAGAACGAGATTAAAACCTTGAATGATTTTAATACTCTTTTTTTAATGACTAACATTTTGTTGATTAAATATGAAGATTTCTAAAAATATGTGGATGCTATTTTTGGAAATACCGATGAGAGTTGAGTTTCGATGGAGGAGGGAGTTGTATTCGGTTTTTACAATTTTTGCACACGCTTGATTTTAAGTTGGCCAACCAGTTTTACCGTTTTGTTGTCAACACCTTTCTCAGTTTGCTAAGCCGGCGACCCAGCCATCCAGCCAGTCAGTCAGCTCGCTCACTATACAGCATCATATCTATTTTTATTATTGGTCATTGTAATTCTTATTAGTTGACCAAACATCTATAACAATAACAACTACAATAGCATTTTGATATCATTTGCATATAGTTATGCATACAACACGAGCCATAAATTGCTTATAGTTACCAAACGTTTATAACAAAAACAAGAAATAAAAAATTGAAATGTTATAAAAAAGAAGAAAATCAATAACAACAAACATAATGACAACATTGACTTTGCCCCCGTGCAACTTGGAATTGGAATGGTGTTCCACAAAACAGGAATAGCATGTGGGTACTATACATGCATTCACTACAATGCCTAGTAATGCTTGGTGCATTACAATGAGTTCAAATTATGAGTGTGTGGTCACACAAATGACGTCTATCTCTCGCCATCCATTTATGTCAGACAAAAGAAATTGTGGGAAATACCCATGTTAGTAATAAAAAAAGTAAGTAAAGTCGGACTGGGCCGACTATATGATACCCTTCACCACCTTGGGTATATTCTACATAGTCTCCTAACAGACGTCGCCTTTCGAAATACAAGAAATTTAACGAAATATATATATGAACTTTGGTGCACCATTTCTATTAAATCATGACGAAAATATATATGGGAGCTATATTTAAATCTGAACCGATTTTCACGAAACCTAACACACATCATTCTAGACTTAATTTAGTACACTATGCCAAATTTCGTGCAAATCGAGGGACTTTAGCACACCATTTACCTTAAATCGGACGAAAAAATATATGGGAGCTATATCTAAATCTTAACCGATTTCCACAAAACTTTGCGTACGTCATCCTAGGCCTAGTTCCGTACGCTTCGTGCAAATCGAAAGATATATAGGGACCTTGGTGCACCATTTACCTTAAATCGGACGAAATTATATATGGGAGCTATATCTAAATCTGAACCGATTTTTCTCAATTTCAATAGGGTTCGTCCTTGGGTCAAATAAATGAGCTGTGTCAAATGCATGCATAAATCGACTCAGAAAGTGATCCTATGCATATTCTCAAAAGGAACCATAGGTCTATCTCGTTTCCTTTTGCCTGTTACAAACATATGCACAAAGACATAATAACCTATACCACAATATGGTGAAGGGTATAAAAAGAATACGTCACTAGTGGATGTTGGACCCCCAGTACACCATACAACTTATTGTGGAAATTCTGCTTAGAAAGATTTTATTACTCCAAATATCAGTTTATAAGCATATCTTTATTAGTTTGTATTCATTCACTGAGAGCCCCACTGTACATAAATATCGATTACATTCTCATTAAAATATTCAGAATCATTCCATTCCTAAATAAAAGCGCAACACATTCCTTCATTAATCATTTAGCAAAAAAAATATAAATAAAGAAGTAAACATGACATTATGTTGGAAGCGGTCGAACATTTTATGCACTACAACATGATAGTAAACAATAATAAACTAATGTAGGCACACATCAGAGGGGTAGGACGATAACATACAGTCGATCGATATATCCTATACTTAATATCGATCACGATAGAAGTAATCGTTTTTACTCTTAACAAGAATGTGTAGACCTTAAAGAACATTTCCAAATGGAATGTCAAAGTTAAAATACCACCTAATGATCGACGAGATATATAAATGGCATGAAACAGTAATTGCTACATGAAATTGTGGCTGCTGCTGCTGCACAAACAAAGTGACTGACATACTGCTGAAGAGGCGAGAAGGAATGCCATTTAAATAACAACGTTTTGAATATTGGCATTTTTGTATTTTTTTTTCTTTTTCTCCGTTTGTTGAGGTTGTTGTGATATCTGCAGCAATTGTTGTTGTTGTTTTTTGTATTCAGTAGTATTGTTTCAATTTCAATTCAATCTTTTGTCGCTGTAGTTTTGTTTTTGTATTGATATTTTAAAGATATATGTTTGTATGTATGTTTGTATTTATTTGCTGCTATATTTAACTCGTTTTTATATGATGGGAATTTCACGGGTTTTTTCTGTTATAAACAAGCCAGTTAAACGCCAACCTACAAACATACGATTCCAAGCCAACGAAACGACAAACGAATCAAAATGAAACGCTTGTCGATCGGCTAATTCCAATGACTGTTGTCAATATGAAAAAAAAAATAAAAAACAATTCAGCTCAAATCACATCTTCCTCTCACACTCGTACTTCTTCCCACTGTGTTTTTTTGTTTTATCAAAAAATATATGCCCAGTAAATTGTGTTACCCCCCGATACCTTATACCGGTATTATGAAGAAGAGCACCCAGTTTGTGGGCTAGGCCGGCCTCTTTCCTCCCTTCCCCTATACCTCTTGTTTTCTTTCTTTAAACATCTAATTTAATTCAAATCATTTATTTTTTTCTAAAACACTATGCATACATACACGTACCTAGCACAACAACAACATCAACAACAATATTCATAAGTTTAAAATTTAAAACGCGCTTCAATATGTATGTATGTTACCTTCGTTTTTACTATATCAACACAAAGTCTGCTGTGAAAAACAACAACAACGAAAAGAAATATTCAAAGCTTTATTTTTCTGAAATGCCAGTCAAGCTCAACTCAATTTGTTGATAATAGCTGGGGATTTTCTATATTATCATCATGTGGGACATACATACCAACAATTGTATATATATGTATAGCAGTAGTATTTTGCATTTCATTCATTTATGGGAGATTTTCGAAATATTGAAAAGCTTAAAGTTTGTTTTAAACAAAAACCGTTATATTTTAAATATTTTATTGAAAATTGTATTAAATAAAGACATTACTAATTTATGTTTATTTTATTTTTTTCATTTCAGGTGAAAGATGTGTTCATTTAGCTGCCCAAGCTGGTTATATTGAAATTCTACGCATTTTGGTTTATTATGGTGCCGATATTAATGCCAGGGTAAGTTTGCCAGGAAAATGTGAAAAAAATATTTTCCATAGAAAGGAAACATTTCTAAAAATACCTTAAATATATATTAAAAACATTTAATTAAAACATTTAATTTTTGTTGAGGAATGAGCTACATTATACACACTAATGTAGCTCATTTTACTTTTCATAAACTTCGATTTGAGAGGTCCATCCATTTAGTATCTTAATTTGGTCCATTTAGTATCTTAGTTTCAATATTTGAATTAAAAACCAACTAATAATATATTTTTTCCACTATATTTTTGCAGGAAGGTAAATCTGGACGCACTCCTCTACACATTGCCATCGAATGTTGTAATGAAGATTTGGCCAATTTCCTTTTGGATGAATGCCGCAAATTGAATTTAGAAACCGCCACATATGCCGGCCTAACAGCCTATCAAGTTGCATGCGTTTTAAATAAATCCGAAATGCAAAATATGTTGGAAAAACGTGGCGCTGAACCTCTAACACCTCCCGATAGTGATTATGATAGTAGCGACATTGAAACAGATCTTGACGATTCAAAGGTGAGCTTGTAGAAAACAAAAAAAGTTTAAGAACAAATTAAAATAAACTACTACTACTCCTACTCCCTTGTACTACTACTACTGAACTGGCATTCAGATTGGAAACAACACAAATTTTTAGTTAATAATTAAGTAAATATAAAAAAATCAAAAATGTATTGTCAACCAAAAACAACAAACAAACAAAAAAAATCCCTAAAAATATTAAAAAAAATTGTAATACAAAAAAGAAAAAAAAAAATAATAATATTAATGCTCAAAAAATATGTTTCATTTTGTTTATTAGTAATCCTAATATATAAGTAAATATATATAAATGTCCTCCAGTAGTTCTATGTTTTAGTAGAGCTAATTTATTTTTCATAACACAAATGAAACATCTTAAAAAAACAAAACAAACGTAGCCAAAATCTAAATCTAAAACTAATAACAAACTATATCATATTTTATCTAATTTTTAGTATATATTTAGATTAAAAACAAAACCCCCATTTAGTTGTATATGTCCTCCCTCCCGCCCTAAACCAATTTATTTTGTATAATGTATAAGTTTTTGTATAATTGTTTGTGTTGTCCAGTTATCTTTTTTTGAGTGAAATTGATATTTGTTTTATTGGACCAAACCATATATTTTTTTAGAATCTCAATAAATAGAAAATATTGTAACAAAAAATAATTATCCTGTAGTAATATGTTTATCGGTATTCGGTTTAAGTAGTAAAAAAAGTGAAATTACATACATTTCTTCTTAAGGGGACCCACCTCACTAAAAACAACAACAACAACAACCAAATTTTGCAAATTATTTTTCTTCTCTTTTAAATCTTCAATTATATATGTGAAAAGTTACAAACCCTAACATGCATTGGTTTTAATTAACCAGCCCAATTAAAATCTTCAAAATTTAAAATCGAAGGATTTGTCCTTGATGTCATAGAAATAGTGACTTTCGAAGGGTAATTTTTTTAAGTGAATTTTGGCTATTATATTCAAAATGTGGATAGCAAAAAGTTTACGAAAAACTCATAATTCCATTTATAAATTTTGTTCGATTTTATAGTTATTCGTCTTCATCTACACCCACTACCGACCATAGTTAGTTTATATTGGTCAGAAATTGCGCCATTTGCACTACTAAACCAAAAAGGTCATGTTCGCCCTGACAGCTAGTGTTTTTCGTTCCTATACTGTCGTGTTATTTGCATACATTGATCCTTGCGGTGCTGTGTCGGGTTCTCAGGAAAAAAAAAATTGTGTCAAAGCTCACATATATTGGGCCTTCGTATATTAGTTAAGGTGGTGTTCATGCAAATAAGTTCATCATCTATGATATGGATTTTAATTTTCAAACCCAAAAAAGGAAATACGAATAAAAAGTTGACAATGTATAACATTTTCATCAACATGATCTGCTTATTTGTTTCTATTGATTTGTTTGCGTTAACAATATAATTAGTTCTACATTGTGATGCAATAACAAAACAAACATTTGCAGAGATAACAAAATGTAAAAAAAACATCAATCGCAATTTTTAAATCGTTGAATCTTCGTTATCCATAGTGATAGCCTTAATTATAATGGCTATTATCTAAATAGCATGTCCCGCAGTACCAAACTTATTTTGTAATTTCACTGAAACAAACAATAAAATCAAAATCTAAAATTTCATTTATAATTTCACTCAACACAACAATTATTTTATTCAATGTTAAATATAAAGAAATGTTCAAGAGTGGTTTATTTGTTATTTAATTTTAGCAATAAGCCAATGCTGTTTTTTATTTCTAATAGTCCGTAAGTTGCAAAAGATGTTCACATCCCTATAAACACAAATTTTTAGGTTATTTTTTGAAAACATGCCCTTAATTACTAGGATTTTTTTGTTTATGTACTACTAACTAACAACCCCAGATAATCTGAAAGGAGTAGCTACAAAAATCATTGTTTGTTTTATAGGTTAGAAATTGAAAAAAGTAATCATATTATCTCTAAATATTAACACTTCTGACTGAATAATTAATATATAAAAAATGAACAACAACAAATTATAACTACAACCAAAAATACCAAACTTAAATAAATAGTTCTTATTAAAAAAAATATTTAAAATGTTTTGTAATTATTTTTCATATAAAAAAAGTAAAGGTATGTAATTCTAACCACCAAAAAATTAAGAGAAATTGTTTATTAGTTTGTTGGTTTTGCAAGTACTAATTTTTTTAATTATGTTTTTAATATGTTATGTAATATTAATTAAATGTTAAACATTTGTAACAACAAGAAATTTGAAAAAAAAATAATGAATTATATTTTTATGTATGCCATTCAGTATGTCATTGACCCCCCAATCTACCTCTTGTATTTATTTTTATTTATGTCACACAATTTTTAAATACCTTTTGGTTTAAGGGTTTTTTCATTTCTACTTTTTGTATAAATTAGTATTTGCATATAACCAACTAAACTACAAGCAATTCTAAATACAAACAATTATTATTTTTCTTTAATTACAGTTATACGATCGCTTTGGTGATCCAGGTTACTTTGTTGGTGGTTACAAAAGCGGCAATGTCATGACGGTGGTCTAATTTGGCCAAATACTTTTTAATAATCAATAAAACGCTTCCATGTCCTTTCTATCTACCTACCCTCTCTCCCATCTACAACAACAAGGCAAAGCAGCTCAATACCAATCGTTGAGTTTTATTTGGAAATTTTGTTTTGTGTTTATCGAAAACCAGATTAATTTTAGAATTAGCAAGAGAAATCCAACGAATTACTACGAATGCATATATATCTATATTTTCAATATTTTTGTTTACATGTATATTATATAATAATATTGATACTTTTTTATTTGACCTCTATTTTTTTGGAAAATTTGTTTGTGTGTGAATGTATGTATGTGTAAATACCAAAACGACAATTTGTTTAAACAAAATCATATTAATTGTTGCCAGCCAATGCTTTCGTCGTCGTGCATTGGCCTGAGTGTGTCCCTGCAAATTTCTATTTTTGAATGTATACATGTGTAAAATCAATTTATTTTTTATTTTTAATATATTTTTTATTACAATGTATGTTTTATATATATGTTTTGCAAACTTTCGTTTCGAAAAATTTTTTTAAACAATTCTGTTCGAATTAGAAATGAAAACCTATTTTTTCTTTCAGTTGTGTGTAATTTATGTTGATAAATCTATAAGTATATAAACTTTCGAGTAACAATAAATAAAAAAATATATATATAATAATTTAAATATTATATTCTTAAAAACAAATTTAAATAAAAAACATAAAATAAAATAATATTTTACTTGTATTTTATAATATAACACACACCAAGTGATTACTGTTGATATTTTATTAAAGGAAAGTACTGAAAATGTATCTGTTTTATACGAACGGGAATGCTTTCTAGGTTAATGTGGTAAAATATCTAAATTAGTGCCACCACCTGTCCAATGCGTAAAGGCGGAATGCTTGAAATTACAGCGATATTTCTGCTACATACCTTAACACTTACTTCCAAATTTGAATCAAAAGAGGAGAAGCAGCAAAAGGTCCGAATATCAATTAGTCGGCCGAAGAATAATAAAGCAGCAGGTGCCGATGGATTACCAGCCGAGCTATTCAAGATCGGTGATCAAGCGCAACAAATGATTAGTACAAGCATCCTGTGTTCCGTACACAAAAATTGAGACAAGACGATATGCGCCAATTATAGAGCAATTAGTCTCCTTGCCAACGCATATAAAGTGCTATCCAGCGTGCTGTGTGAACGACTGAAGCCAATTATCAATGACATTATTGGACCATTACCAACACGGCTTCAGACCTCGCAAATCCACCACAGACCAAATTTTTACTTGGAGTAACGTTCGACAGTCTTTTCAAGTCGTATGCGCAAGTCACTGCTTTATGCGATAAGCTGAGAAGTAGGAACAAGGCCCTCAAGTCGCTACCGGCAGCACTTGGAGCGCTGGCAAATAAACCTTGTTGACCTCTTATAAAGCAATAGACCGGTCAGTGGTAAGCTAGGTGGCGCCAGTGTGGTTCGCGAATTTAAGTGATACGCAGTGGAAGAATATGCAGACCTGCCAGAATGCTGCCCTGAGAACTGCAATAGGGTGTCTCCTCATGACTTCTGTGGACCATCTTTATGAGGAGACGAAGATATTTCCCGCCCATCGACACAATTACATGAATTTGGAGTAGAGGAAGCAGAACCAGTCAATGAATGACCCACCCCACGCATTCTGTTGCTACAACAAAGAAGACCAAGATGGTATCAACGCGCTAGACGTCCAATAGACTCGGACCAACTGTGGAACTTCAAAACTACAGCTTCGAGGTAATCAAAGATTTTATATACCTCGGTAGCGCCATAAATAAAACTAATGACATTAGTTTTGAAATTCGAAGAAAGATAGTGTTGGCCAACAAATGCTACTATGGTCTGAGCAAGCAATTCAAAAACAAGACCACTTCTCGCCAGACCAAGCTCACCCTCTACAAGATGCTCATACTACCCGTGATGTTATATGGATCTGAAACATGAGTACTTGGCCAAGCAGATTGGAGTGTTCGAGAAAAACATTTTTCGAAAGATCTATGGGCCGATCTGAGGTGGAAAGCCGTAAATTCGATGGAAATATCAAGTGGCAGACAACATTGCGGAGAATGGTCTTTTTAATTAGAAGAGTTGCCCAAAGACCGACGCGTCTTGAAATATCAAGTGGCAGACAACGTTAGTGCTTGGCCAAGCAGATGAGGCTGCTCTTGGAGTGTTCGAGAGAAAATTTTTCCGAAATATCTATGTGCCGATCTGAAGGGGAAGGCCGCGAATTTGCCGAACATGATTTTCGACGCGCCTGGAAATCTTTTTTAAGCTCGGCTTGTAGAACTACTGTTCTGTCACAAGCTAGCTAAGTAAAAGTAAGTAGCAGCAAAATAAGCGAGATGATGTTCTGACTTTTTTGGAAATTTGATGCCATATTGTGAAAAGTCGACGACGGATTTTTTTGGCGTCTCCCGCCGTATATGTTTAATTTAAGTTTGAGTGTAAATGGAAGTTAGTATCATCAAAGGCGTGGCGCCAGCCCATATCTCTGGAACGGCTAAAGATATTTGGCAGTGTCATTATCTCGAATTAACTCAGATTTACTAGCGTACTTAGTTTTATACGTTAGAGAGAAATATGGATCGCCGAAGTTCTAACATGAGTTATAAATAAAAAAAAAAAACTAAATTACAGTCTTTGTGTAAAAATATAGCTGGCACCCAAAACATCAACATGCATAAATTTCACATTTCTTTATTGCAATTACATGTCTCAACATGCTGCCAAATCATGCAAACATGATTGATTGGTTGATTGATTGGGTTGCATAAATGTTAATAATGTAAAGCATAACTTAAATCAACGAATGACATTTCACATTAGCGCCTAGAAGTATGCTTTAAGGTTATATCTTTTTATGAAAGCACATAGGCACAATTCATGCGATCTGGCATCATTGCTAGTAAAAATACAATTTGGAAAATGTAAAATGTTCACATCCCTATAAACACAAATTTTTAGGTTATTTTTTGAAAACATGCCCTTAATTACTAGGATTTTTTTGTTTATGTACTACTAACTAACAACCCCTGATAATCTGAAAGGAGTAGCTACAAAAATCATTGTTTGTTTTATAGGTTAGAAATTGAAAAAAGTAATCATATTATCTCTAAATATTAACATTTCTGACTGAATAATTAATATATAAAAAATGAACAACAACAAATTATAACTACAACCAAAAATACCAAACTTAAATAAATAGTTCTTATTAAAAAAAATATTTAAAATGTTTTGTAATTATTTTTCATATAAAAAAAGTAAAGGTATGTAATTCTAACCACCAAAAAATTAAGAGAAATTGTTTATTAGTTTGTTGGTTTTGCAAGTACTAATTTTTTTAATTATGTTTTTAATATGTTATGTAATATTAATTAAATGTTAAACATTTGTAACAACAAGAAATTTGAAAAAAAAATAATTAATTATATTTTTATGTATGCCATTCAGTATGTCATTGACCCCCCAATCTACCTCTTGTATTTATTTTTATTTATGTCACACAATTTTTAAATACCTTTTGGTTTAAGGGTTTTTTCATTTCTACTTTTTGTATAAATTAGTATTTGCATATAACCAACTAAACTACAAGCAATTCTAAATACAAACAATTATTATTTTTCTTTAATTACAGTTATACGATCGCTTTGGTGATCCAGGTTACTTTGTTGGTGGTTACAAAAGCGGCAATGTCATGACGGTGGTCTAATTTGGCCAAATACTTTTTAATAATCAATAAAACGCTTCCATGTCCTTTCTATCTACCTACCCTCTCTCCCATCTACAACAACAAGGCAAAGCAGCTCAATACCAATCGTTGAGTTTTATTTGGAAATTTTGTTTTGTGTTTATCGAAAACCAGATTAATTTTAGAATTAGCAAGAGAAATCCAACGAATTACTACGAATGCATATATATCTATATTTTCAATATTTTTGTTTACATGTATATTATATAATAATATTGATACTTTTTTATTTGACCTCTATTTTTTTGGAAAATTTGTTTGTGTGTGAATGTATGTATGTGTAAATACCAAAACGACAATTTGTTTAAACAAAATCATATTAATTGTTGCCAGCCAATGCTTTCGTCGTCGTGCATTGGCCTGAGTGTGTCCCTGCAAATTTCTATTTTTGAATGTATAAATGTGTAAAATCATTTTATTTTTTTTTAATATATTTTTTATTACAATGTATGTTTTATATATATGTTTTGCAAACTTTCGTTTCGAAATTTTTTTTTAAACAATTCTGTTCGAATTAGAAATGAAAACCTATTTTTTCTTTCAGTTGTGTGTAATTTATGTTGATAAATCTATAAGTATATAAACTTTCGAGTAACAATAAATAGAAAAAAAATATATATAATAATTTAAATATTATATTCTTAAAAACAAATTTAAATAAAAAACATAAAATAAAATAATATTTTACTTGTATTTTATAATATAACACACACCAAGTGATTACTGTTGATATTTTATTAAAGGAAAGTACTGAAAATGTATCTGTTTTATACGAACGGGAATGCTTTCTAGGTTAATGTGGTAAAATATCTAAATTAGTGCCACCACCTGTCCAATGCGTAAAGGCGGAATGCTTGAAATTACAGCGATATTTCTGCTACATACCTTAACACTTACTTCCAAATTTGAATCAAAAGAGGAGAAGCAGCAAAAGGTCCGAATATCAATTAGTCGGCCGAAGAATAATAAAGCAGCAGGTGCCGATGGATTACCAGCCGAGCTATTCAAGATCGGTGATCAAGCGCAACAAATGATTAGTACAAGCATCCTGTGTTCCGTACACAAAAATTGAGACAAGACGATATGCGCCAATTATAGAGCAATTAGTCTCCTTGCCAACGCATATAAAGTGCTATCCAGCGTGCTGTGTGAACGACTGAAGCCAATTATCAATGACATTATTGGACCATTACCAACACGGCTTCAGACCTCGCAAATCCACCACAGACCAAATTTTTACTTGGAGTAACGTTCGACAGTCTTTTCAAGTCGTATGCGCAAGTCACTGCTTTATGCGATAAGCTGAGAAGTAGGAACAAGGCCCTCAAGTCGCTACCGGCAGCACTTGGAGCGCTGGCAAATAAACCTTGTTGACCTCTTATAAAGCAATAGACCGGTCAGTGGTAAGCTAGGTGGCGCCAGTGTGGTTCGCGAATTTAAGTGATACGCAGTGGAAGAATATGCAGACCTGCCAGAATGCTGCCCTGAGAACTGCAATAGGGTGTCTCCTCATGACTTCTGTGGACCATCTTTATGAGGAGACGAAGATATTTCCCGCCCATCGACACAATTACATGAATTTGGAGTAGAGGAAGCAGAACCAGTCAATGAATGACCCACCCCACGCATTCTGTTGCTACAACAAAGAAGACCAAGATGGTATCAACGCGCTAGACGTCCAATAGACTCGGACCAACTGTGGAACTTCAAAACTACAGCTTCGAGGTAATCAAAGATTTTATATACCTCGGTAGCGCCATAAATAAAACTAATGACATTAGTTTTGAAATTCGAAGAAAGATAGTGTTGGCCAACAAATGCTACTATGGTCTGAGCAAGCAATTCAAAAACAAGACCACTTCTCGCCAGACCAAGCTCACCCTCTACAAGATGCTCATACTACCCGTGATGTTATATGGATCTGAAACATGAGTACTTGGCCAAGCAGATTGGAGTGTTCGAGAAAAACATTTTTCGAAAGATCTATGGGCCGATCTGAGGTGGAAAGCCGTAAATTCGATGGAAATATCAAGTGGCAGACAACATTGCGGAGAATGGTCTTTTTAATTAGAAGAGTTGCCCAAAGACCGACGCGTCTTGAAATATCAAGTGGCAGACAACGTTAGTGCTTGGCCAAGCAGATGAGGCTGCTCTTGGAGTGTTCGAGAGAAAATTTTTCCGAAATATCTATGTGCCGATCTGAAGGGGAAGGCCGCGAATTTGCCGAACATGATTTTCGACGCGCCTGGAAATCTTTTTTAAGCTCGGCTTGTAGAACTACTGTTCTGTCACAAGCTAGCTAAGTAAAAGTAAGTAGCAGCAAAATAAGCGAGATGATGTTCTGACTTTTTTGGAAATTTGATGCCATATTGTGAAAAGTCGACGACGGATTTTTTTGGCGTCTCCCGCCGTATATGTTTAATTTAAGTTTGAGTGTAAATGGAAGTTAGTATCATCAAAGGCGTGGCGCCAGCCCATATCTCTGGAACGGCTAAAGATATTTGGCAGTGTCATTATCTCGAATTAACTCAGATTTACTAGCGTACTTAGTTTTATACGTTAGAGAGAAATATGGATCGCCGAAGTTCTAACATGAGTTATAAATAAAAAAAAAAAAAACTAAATTACAGTCTTTGTGTAAAAATATAGCTGGCACCCAAAACATCAACATGCATAAATTTCACATTTCTTTATTGCAATTACATGTCTCAACATGCTGCCAAATCATGCAAACATGATTGATTGGTTGATTGATTGGGTTGCATAAATGTTAATAATGTAAAGCATAACTTAAATCAACGAATGACATTTCACATTAGCGCCTAGAAGTATGCTTTAAGGTTATATCTTTTTATGAAAGCACATAGGCACAATTCATGCGATCTGGCATCATTGCTAGTAAAAATACAATTTGGAAAATGTAAAATGTCGCTGCAAATGAATTTTGTGGTAATAGGCGAACAGAATCATGTAGCAGCTATATTTTGTTACAAGGTAAATTTCAAATGGCTATATCTCAGCAATGGCTGGATGGATTTTCATGAAAATTTCACCACTGATACGACAAAATAATGTAGTTTATATATGTCCTACAAGAAAACTGATTTAGTGTCTCCCTACCAGCAAAAATCGATTTTTTGAATAGGTTTGCTAATGTTACAGAAATTTGCAAATTTTAATAAAAAATTTTAAATATCTTGTTGTCCATGCGAAACATGCATTACCTTACTAAGTTATAGACTTCCTTATTGTTATAAAGAACAAGAAAATGTCTTCAAATATAAACATACGAGTTAAATCTTTACTGATTTAACCTATATAAAAACGAAGTAAAGTATTGAATATGGAAAACAACTTTTCCCCCCGCAAAGAAAGAGAAACGGATTCTATTTAGTTTGTATCATTCTTATTTATTTTAAAAAGGTCTTTTCGTGTGGTGTTTGTATGCCTTTATAGTAACTGTTAAATCCATCAAAAAACTAAGATTTCTTTAAATTTCACTAATGTTAAACTTCCTGAGGTGGTGATGTTGTTATCGCTTCACAAACATATTCTTTTTTTATAATAAAATTTTCAACAACTGTTTTTATTTTCTTCTTGTTTTTCTTTTTTGTTTTTAATTTATAAATACACTAATTCAATAAAATTTATTTAGCTTATATTCTCTTTTTGTTAGTAACAATTATATACGAATAAAAATAATTAGAAACTTTTTTCACATCTCTCAAGTGGTAAAGAAGAAACGGCGATAGGGTATTTACGCCCCAGTTACGACGACATGGATGTTGTGCATTTTTTATATAATCATAGCGAGATTTCTGTATAATTTGTTTTGTTTTATAAAAGAAAAAAGATGTACTTAAATTAATTAGTTATTATTTATAATAATTAAAAAATGTGTATTTTTCTCTTTCGAAAGAAAATAGACACTTTAGTTGGCGGGTCCGTCTTCTGGACTGGGCAATTTTTGCCAGGTGGGTTCAACGCCCCAGATTTCACGAGCATATTCGGCAATGGTACGATCCGAGGAGAATTTACCACTGGAAGCAATGTTGTGAATGGACATCTCCAACCATTTGGCTTGATTCTGCAAAAACAACAAAACAAAGTTCATGTAAAAAATCGTTATGAAATTAACAATCATTCAATATATTACCTGATATGTTTGAGAAACCTTATCCTGGGCCTTAATGTAAGCTTCATAATCAGCCAATAGGTAGTAGTGATCGTATTTCAACAAAATATCAGCAATGTTCTTGAACTCATTGGGATTACCAGGGCTGAAGAAGCCACCAGCAATTTGATCAACGCACTGCTTGATCTCAGGATTGCTGTTGTAGTAATCGTAGGCATTGTAACCCTTCTTCTTGAGGGCCTCAACTTGATCAACGGTCATACCGAAGATGAAGATGTTTTCATTGCCCATTTCTTCGGCCATTTCAACATTAGCACCGTCCAGGGTACCAATGGTGAGGGCACCGTTCAACATGAATTTCATGTTACCGGTACCAGAGGCTTCAGTACCAGCGGTGGAAATTTGCTCAGACAAATCAGCGGCTGGCATAATCTTTTCGGCCAAGGTGACGCGGTAGTTCTCCAAGAAGATAACCTTGAGCTTATCACCAACAATAGGATCGTTGTTGACGACATTGCCAACGGCACAGATCAATTTGATGATCTGCTTGGCAACATAGTAACCAGGGGCAGCCTTGCCACCAATCATAATGGTACGAGGAGCGAACTGGGCTGTGGGGTCCTTCTTGATGCGATTGTACAAAGTAATGATGTGCAAGCAGTTCAACAATTGACGTTTGTATTCGTGGATACGCTTGACTTGGATGTCGAACATGGAGGCGGGATTTACTTTGACGCCATAGTCTTTCTCCAAGATTTGGGCCAATTTCAATTTGTTTTCTTGCTTGACACGGGCAACCTCACGTTGGAAGTTGGGATCCTTAGCCCACTTCTTCAAGGCAACCAATTGATCCAAATGGACGGGCCATTCGTTGCCAATCTTTTCGCTGATCAAATCAGACAAGCCGGGATTGCACATCAACAACCAACGACGGGGGGTAATACCGTTGGTCTTGTTCTGGAACTTGTGGGGTTCCATTTGGTAGAACAAATTGAACAAGTCGTCCTTCAAAATTTGGGAGTGGATGGCAGCCACACCGTTCACAGCATGTGAACCCACAATGGACAAATGGGCCATGTTGATGCGTTTCTCACCATCTTCTTCAACCAAAGACATGCGGCGCATGCGTTCCAAATCGCCAGGGTAGCGTTTCTTAATGTTCTCCAAGTGCAGGAAGTTGATGTGGTAGATGATTTGCAAGTGACGGGGCAAAATGGACTCCAACATGGAAACGGGCCAGCGCTCCAAGGCTTCGGGAAGGACGGTGTGATTGGTGTAGGCACAGGTACGTACAGTGATATCCCAGGCCTTATCCCAATCCAAATGCTCTTCGTCAAGCAAGATGCGCATGAGCTCAGGAATGGCCAAAGAGGGATGGGTGTCGTTCAATTGAATGGCAACCTTTTCGGGGAAGTGATCGAAGTTGGTGCGTACAGCTTCGCGACTGCCGAATTTGGAGGCCTTGTAACGTCTGATGATATCCTGCAATGTGGCAGCTACCATGAAGTATTCTTGTTTCAAACGCAATTCCTTGCCCTCGAAGAAGTTGTCGTTGGGATACAAGACACGTGAAATGTTCTCAGCCAAATTACGGTCCAACACGGCTTGAATGTAATCACCATCGTTAACTGAAATTGAAATTGTAAAATGAAGAATGAATGATGTTCTCCTCAAAATTTTCTAGTCTCTATACTTACAGAATTTCAAATTGAAATCAATTGGCGACTTGGCAGACCACAATCTCAATGTGTTGACATAGTTGTTGCCATAACCAGGAATGGGATTATCATAGGGCATGGCATAAACAGTTTGTGTGTCAACCCATTTCTTGCCTTCGGGTGTATCAATGACACGACCGTAGAACTTGACGGGCAACATGAATTCGGGTCTGGCCTTTTCCCATGGGTTACCATAACGCAACCAATCATCGGGTTCTTCAACTTGTTCGCCGTTCTTTATCTTTTGGGCGAAAATACCGTATTCATAACGGATGCCATAACCGTAGGCGGCCAAACCGAGTGTGGCCATGGAATCAAGGAAACAGGCAGCCAAGCGACCCAAACCACCATTACCCAAACCGGCATCTTCTTCCATTTCTTCGAGGGATTCAATGTCCAAACCCAATTGGTACATGGCCTCTTCGCATTCGCTTTGAACGCCCAAATTGATCATGGTATTTGTTAGAGAGCGACCCATGTAGTATTCCAAGGATAGGTAGTAGACACGCTGAAATAATAAATGAAGAACATATAAATAAATGTGAAATGGGAACGGGGAAAGTTTGTTCAATTTGGGGTTCAATACATTTTGGGGAATATTAGGTTTACGATCTGCAACATTTTGCAAGTACAATTTAATTAGAATTTTTTCCCTAAACACTTAAATATTTCAAAGCATTGTCTGATCGATAAAAACTTATTTTGTCATTGTTGTTTACAAACAAAAAATCGGTATGAAAACACAATTAAATTGCTTTTATTTGCACTTTCGCTATCGCTTTCAAATATCAAGTGGAATTAAGAGGGGGAAACAAAACAATAACACCTGGGGTAGCATTCTCTTAATCTCTTGCTCTTGCCAATGTGTACTCTGCAAATTGAAAATGAATAATGAGTTCGGAGGAGAGTAATTGCATTCAAGTGTGTACTTTCAAGTACATTATCTTTATTATGCCACACTCTCATCTCTGGGATTTCATTCCCCCACTGTGTGTCTGCCTGTCTACTTCATTCCTATCTATGTACTTGTGCCTGCATATTTATGTGCTCTCGTGTATGTATGATAGTAGAAGGTGTGCAAGATTGTGTGTGCAATTTTAGAAATAGAAATAGTAAAAACGGCATATATCGAAAAAAATATGCGACTGACAGAGTAAAAAAATATATATCAAGTGCAACATGTTGTTTGTTTGTCTTTATTTTTATTTTTAAGGCTGACATTGCTGGCACACTTAACGCTGCATTAGAGAACAACACTATGTTACAGGTTGTTCCCAATTGAAGTTATTTTTATGTGCCAACCACCTCATCTACACTTCTTGTGTAGTACTCAAAATGTTGAAGTACTTCGTAGAAAGCTTGAATGTTTGCAATAAAAATAAATAAAGAAAAACAACAATAATTTAGTAAACATGTTTTGGGGGCTGATAATTCTCCGTGAAATAGAAATCAATCTATAATAATCAATATCTTCATAATGATTATGGCGATATTGATGTTTTAATAACCCAAGGGAATAGCTAATGTTAATTTGTGGTCGTTTTTTGTTAAACTAAAAATCGGAAAATAAGAAAACTTACCTATAAACCGTGATTTTGATCGGAATCGTAGTAGATAAAATATTAAGTTTTATGTGTCACATTCCATATATAGCGGACAAAATCAATAAAATCACCAGGATTATGTATCCTCTAATTAACAGGAAATCTGAACTAAGTCTTGGAATAAGTTTTCCAACCGGTTCTGTACAATTCGATTCGAACGAACTTGAATCAAATATTGTGTCCAGCCATTAGTTTGAGCTTGTGCACAGTTTAGATATTATTAATCTCACCAATTTGCTTACAAAATTTCTTTAATGACAACCCTAACTAGATATTATACTGCAAAATGGTCGTCTAGATAACGAACTCTGACAAGGTCGTATATATGTATTATTTGTTCTAAAAAGGATTCATAAAAAAATCACCAACCCATTATCATTTGTTATTATTATTGACTGCTGCACTTTATCGTCTATTGATTATAGCAAATTGTGTAAATGATTTATTTTATTGTTGTTTTTGTTCTACTAATGAGGCCAACACTTTGATGATAACGCAAAACAAATCATTATGGATGATTTTGTTTTAGCGGAACACATGTTAAAAGCGTGGCGTTTATGCACCAACAAACAATAGAAAACAAAATAGGAATGCCTATATAAACAATGTTGCAAAATTTTTTAACCCTTATTCGTATTGTTCTATAGTGTCAAGCCGTCCTCTACATAATCTAAAATTCAATCAGCACAACTAACGTCCTTTTTTAAAGGAAAATCGTACATTTGTTTTATATATGCAACCCTAATCGATATTGATAAGTATTCTAATAAAATTGAACTGAACAATCATTGCTGATTTCATCATATGTATATTTTGTTCTGGTCCATTTGAATTTATTATTAGCCTCGATCTAAAAAAGGCGGTTTCATCTCAGTGGATGCAATCAAAGTAATCAGGAAATGTTTCTTGAGATTAAGATTTCATTTTGACGACTATTGTTATTGTTATTTTACATGATGATGTATGTATGTCGATACATCTTTCCTATATATGTATGTGGTTTTCAAAAAATATTAACGTTAGATGAATTATGGCATTGGTAATTTAACTTATTTACACAATAGTGCAAGGTTGTTTCAATGTGTGTGAGTGATTTTTATGACAATGCCGTTTAAATGTAACAGAGCTGAAATGAAATAGAATATTAGCGATACAAGCACACCAAATATATGTCAAATTATATTTTATTAAGTAAATGTCTGACGTAGCGAGTTATGCGGGCCAGTAGGCCTATTCTGCAACTTTTAACAACATTCGATATTGTTTAATTTTCTTTGGTTATTGTAAAAACAACAAAACAAATCAAATTGTTGTAAAATGAACAATGTCTAATGTGGTTAAAAAGTCACAGAATATGCTTACAGGATAAACCGAACTTTATATAATTTGCCCAAAAATTATAATATTTTTAAATCACAAAAAATCATTACTAACAATTTTATGCTTATTCCTCTAAAGATAACAGTATTGAGAATGTAAAGTTCTATAGATATTGTAATTAAACGAGCGTTTGAAAAATGCAACTAAGAATTAAACCAGTAAGGAAAGTAGTAAAGTCGGGGCGACTATATGACACTTCACCACTTCGAGTATATTCAACAGATGCATTCTAAAAGACAGACAGGATGAACTAAATATGTGATGTATGCTCGTATCTAAATGTGAACCGACTTAGATCAATCCATAAACATGTCATTCTGTAACCTATACTAAACCATTCATTTGGATAGATAGAGAATGAGACAAGATTATGTAAATCAATATAACGCAAATCCCTGTTTGGGACACCATTTAATTAAAATCGGACGAAAATATTAAAGAAAGCTATATATAAACCGATGCCAACGAAACTTGTCACAGGTTAATTTATACTAATTTCAAAACATTTTTTGCATATCTGCCATATTTCGTGAAAATCGAAAGATATATAGGGACTTTGGCACTCCATTTAAATTAAATCGGACGGAAATATATATGGGAGCTATATCTAAATCTGAACCGATTTTCACGAAACTTAACACACATTATTCTAGACTTAATTTAGTACGCTATGCCAAATTTCATGCCAATCGAAGGATATATACGAACTTTAGCACCCCATTTACATTAAATCGGACGAAAATATATATATATTGGAGTTATATCTAAATCTGAACCAATATTCACCAATTCAATAGGGTTCGTCCATGGGCCAGATAAATGATCTGTGCCAAATTTCATCCAACTCGGATGATAAATGCGACCTGTACTTTGTTTACAATTTAACATCAACAGACGGAGGGCCGGACATGCATAAATCGACTCAGAAAGTGATTCTATGCATTTTCTCAAAAGGAACCATGGGTCTTTCTCGATTCCTTTTACCTGTTATAAACATATGCATAAAGCTATAATAGCCTGTACCACAGTGAGGTGAAGGGTATAAAAAATATTTATGAATAAATTGAATTAAAAACATATCTATCTCAATTCATTCGGATTACAAAAGACGAACACGAATTTTGAATGTTATTTCAAAAATGTTCATAGTATGTCCTACGTCCTCTGAGGGCATAAATGAAGGGTGCTAGTAAAATATAATAATCCCATCAAATACAACTATATCACTTAACAAAACTTTTTCTACATGTGAGAATTTTATTAAAAATTTTATCTACCGCATGAGACATAATTCTTAAACTGCCATATAATTGTTGACAAATGATGAATCTACATAAAAATGATCACACTTCTCCCCCTCAAAGAAAAGAACTTTCCATTTCATATTATCCCACAATAGTGCTGCACGTTTCTTTTGTGCTAAACAATTATATCAATAACCTTTCATTGACCTTGAAAGCCAAATATGATATGCTCTGAATGAGAAAAGAATTTATTTATTTTATTACAAAACTGAGTGAAAATATTGGATGAATGGATAGACACCCAAGCAAAGATGTCTACGTTTCGGTTAGAGAAAAAAATATACGATAGAAAAAAACTTTAACAAGAAGAAGGCAGCACACACAGCAACAAATTAATTTTTCTAAAGTCCAACGAATTGATGGTGGTGGTCTAATGAATTTGTCCTCAAACATACGATGACTACTACGCCATCGTGTGTCCAAAATAAAATCATATTAAAAAAATATTACCCTCTTTTTATTTCTTTGTCTAAAAAATTCTAGGTGTTTTTTTTTTATTTTAAATACATATGTATGATTTAAATACATATATTGAAATATTGCCAACAACATATTGTTCTAAAAACTGCATAACAATAAATTAGAAAAAAAAAAGATTTTTCTAGCTATATACTATAATTGATAGAAATAATTTAATTATTAATATTACTTTTATTTATTACTATTCATTTTGGGTGGCTTCCAGAGGAAAGAACCGAAAAAATTTATAGAGATACCACTGACAATTGAATGTCATGGAAATGTACACATTCGTTAACAAAATATATTTTTGACCTTCATGGAAGGGCAAATATTATTGAAGTTACTGGTGTTGTTCATTTAGGCCAACAAAAGTCATTGTTGTTTATATTTGGGTGTTCAGGTTGATGGTTGGAAACCTTTCTTCCTCAATTCCCCAAGTGACGTTCTATGAAAATAAATATGTATGTGTGTGTAACACATACAATTAATGTGGCACACAAAATAAAAACACGTGCGTACCACTAATTTAAAAGAAATTATAGATAATATATATTTATATATAGAACGTTTATTAATAAATATACTGATTTAAACTATATACAATGGCAGCCAAAACTAAACAACTAAAATTGCAAAGTTAATAAATGCGGCATAACTTTTTCAAACATAAAGATATCGTGTTGGTTTTTTCAGTTTTAAATCGGGTATTTTATTCACTTTTAAAACAACAAAAGCAAAAATCAAAAATTCATTTATTGATAAGGAATTGTCTAAATTTTTTGCTTGGACAAAACTAAAGTAAACCTACAGTACAAAAAGATTGCTTTAAAATTGTATTTACTTTTGCCGGTATAATTATTATGTTTTTGTTTCTAAGCCTATTTCGATCCTTATATATCATTTTTAAATGGATTATATTAAAATAACATGTGTCTGGTTTTCAATTTTGACTTGATGCCAAAAAAAGCTAATTACCAGAGATTGTGAAAATTATTTATTATTTTATTTATATGATTTTTTGAACTATTAGTTTATTATTTATTTTAATACATTTATTTTAGGCTCTATTAAACTTTGTTTAAAATTCTATGAAAAAATACAAATTAAACTAACCTTTCCCAACAAGAATATTTCTTAAAAAGATAAAACAATAAACAATAAGAAATTGGCTAATATTATTTTAAAATATATAATGACAGAAATTTGTTATTCAAAACCTAATATTTGCATGACAATAGAAAGCTGTTTTGAAGTTAGGTGGAGTATTAAATAAAATATAACCATAAAACAAATAATTTTATATTCTAAATGGAGCTATAACATGGTTCTTTTCAATCAAATCGACAATTGAAATTACTCGGGATTGCAAAAAATGCATAATTTATATATCCCTATAACACAAAATTCCAAAGACATAAAAGTATAAAGATAGGACAATTGATACGTCGACAAATTCCAATAGATGGCTTTTCCTCTGTTGTTACGATATCAAAACAACAGAGCGAACAATATTAAACATTCTAAGCGCTATATAGCAAGCTTATTAAATAAAAAAAATATATTTTGAGTGCAGATCTCTGATTTTATTTACATTTTATGAACACTTTATCGCGTATTGGCGTTTTTATTGTTAACATGCCTCTGTTATACCTGATTTCCCCGGGATATTTTTTTATAAACTATTTTGTCAATATGCATTTTGTCGAGTCTTTACGGTTTCTATGTCTTTGAAAATTCTTTACAATTTGGTTTGGGGGCATTTAAATATATTAAAAAATGTATGTCAAACAGATGATCTGTTCCCATACTGCAGGAATCTACTCGATTTTTTTATTTTCTTTGATACCATAAAGGAAAGTTCGTAATCATAGTTAATAGTAGTAGATTCTTGCAGTACGGAAACAGACCAAGAAAAAATAGTATGTATATTAATAGGAAGTTTTAGAATTAAGAATAAACGAATATAATATTCGACAGGAAGAGGGTATATCAGGTGCATACACCCTTAATAACAATCGGACTTACACATTTCAGATAGAATTAATTTAAACTCAAAAATTAAATGCATGCACCCTTTATACCAATCAGACTTAAACATTTCAGATGGAATTATTTTAAGCTCAAAATGAAGTTAATGAGTCATAGTGTATTCACACATCAGTGGAACAAAGTATGATGTGGTGAATTTCTATTAGGATTTGTTTCTTACTGAATATTTGAAATGTTTATGTTTGTCTATTATATTTTATCGCAAAACTGGTGATAATGACTCTTGACGTACTAAACAAATGTTTTATAAATTTTGAGTACAAACTGCAATTGAATGTCCCTATTCAAAAATTCAAAGTTGAAGAATGTTAGTGAATATAAATTGATATTATTTATTCAATTCACAAATCCATGCGCTAGCGCATTTTCTCTTAATCTCAGAAATGTTCTAATTTTTTTGAATTTCTATTTAAGTTTATAAAGTCTAGGTTTATACATGCAACTTTTTTAGCCAACTCTGTTGCTGCTCTCTACGATTATCTTTTGAATTTCTTCCCCCTTGTCACTTTTTATAACTCTTACTTCTAAGAACTCATCAGAGTTGCCTTCAAAAGTTGCATGTATAAACCCAGACTAAAAAAAAATAACAGCAAAAAATTCATATAATAATTATAAATTAATGTGACCATACGTCATCTCTTTTAGAGCAGAATCATCTATGTTAACTGACTGTCATCTATAAAATAAAAAAATATAAAATTTATGTCCTCTATCTGTCATATATATTTTGTAAAACCTCGATCAATATTTATTTTTATAAATTAAAACAAGTTAATGAAATTTCAGTGAAATATTTAGAAAAGAGTTGCGAATCTTAGCATGAAAAACCATATAACTGCACACATTTTCGATATTTTTAGTATTTTTAGACACCTTTTCCAATTGCATTATTTTTTATCTTGAGTTCCCTAAATAAATTATTACATTATTAATTATTTTCAGTGTTTCTGGAAACGTTTTGCAACCGAATTGGCTGTAATTTGATATTTTGGGTTCTATGTTTGTAGTTTTCCCCAATATAAAGAAAACTATATTTTAATTTTTCTTCAATTTTACGAAATTTTGCCATGATACTATTCCTTGTTGGCTAGGGGTTGCGAAATACCCTTGGAAAACATAGTAGACAAGTGGCTGTAATATAATATTCCTTGTGGCCTAGGAGTTGACAAATATCCTTGGAAAACATGGTAGACATGTGTAGGTCTACTTCTTTGTTATGTTACTTATATAAAGATCGCAAGATTATTCGGTCGTACTTAACGACTTTTTAACTCATTTAACATATTTATATTATGTTTTTATCAAATATATACTTTTTTCTTTTTGTCATCTATTCTCATTTTCAAAATCTGGTCGCATTAAGTAATTATACATCCAAGCCCGCTAAGTTGTCATATTAACCACCCATCTTAATTAATTGTGAGATCTGACAATTTTTAAGAGAAGCTAGTATAAACATCTGTTTGGGCATGTTAATTAATTTTTATTGGTTTAGTATTGCTTTGTTATCCCTTTAGAACATTAAAAATCCCTATGTGTCAATTTTTCTACAAATACATCAAACAAATTAAAGGGTTATTAATCTTGTAAGATCTACTACAATCAAAAAGGACCTAGGAAGTTTGTTCGAAGTGTTTGTTTTCAGAGGAATGTTTGTATTGTGCATTTATATGTCTTATTTCCTTTTGGAAATGTCATTTCTTGTATGATACAAAAGTGGGAATATCATATGTTCCCAATCATATTAAGAAATAGCGCTATATGGGTTAAATATTTTATGCAATAATCAACTACATATTGACCTAAATTCGCAGTGCAACTTGAAATGTTGAAATTTTATTACTTCTCAATTTTGCAACTTTCTAAAAAACAAAAAACAACAACATTTCTGTTTACTGGTGTTGGCGGTTGTTTTTGCTTTTGGCAATGATCCACATTTAATAGTTTATGATCTCGTTAAAATTGTCATTCTCTTTCTTTAGTTTTCTTCGAATGTGCATTTGCATCAAAAATTTGAAGGACAATTACAAGCATCGATAAACAGAGGGAGAGAGAGAGAAATATAAAGATAGATAGAAAAAAAAATAATTTAGCAAATTAAAAGCAATTAGAATTGAAATGTTTTTATAATCTTTTTTGTTTTGAATTCTTTATTCGTATGCAAGAAAAACTAAAAAAGAAACGAAAAAAAAGAAAGACAACAGTTGCCAAATTGAAAAGAAAAGGATGAACGAACGATTAAATAAATGATATGAAAGGAAAAAAATCATCTGTGTCGTAATTGAATTTGGTTACGAGATTAGCTAGAGAAATTTTTTTTTCAGAGGAATGATATTTTTCCCACTCTACTGAAAAGCTACCACCATATATATATATGTATGGAGATTCAAGGACAACATGCGCAATAATGCTAAACACCCACCCGATACCCTCATATATTCGGAAATGTATGCTTTGAAAATTTCCCATTTTTTTACGCGTATAAAATGACATAATTATTTTTTTTTTATTTTTTGAAAATCATTCCATGTTGAACTTACCTTGGGATCCTTTTCATAGTAGTGCTGTTGTGTACGAATCCAACGGCCAACCATGTTGTCCTTAACGGTATTGGCCAAGGCAAAATAGTAATCCCTCAAAGTGGCTACATTACGATCCTTGACCAGGGTGTAATGCAAGTGGCGATTGAAATTCTTTTTCACTTCGGTGACATTTCCGACCTCGGCAATTCCGCGTACGGATATTTGCTTGCGTCTATCAGCATCTGATTGTGGCTTAGACATGTTCTTTCACTATTTCTTCGGTTCTATCACACAAAATAGCAAGCCAAGAATTCCAAAAAATTCTAATTTTCACTTTCTTATTGACAGATGATGTTCTTCTTTATTCTTTCAATTTATTAGCTGAACCCCAACGACTCAAATGCAAGACGACAACCGAGTCTGAACACAACAACGAACAACAACCGACTGGTTTTTTGTCACGATAATTCTGGAGTACGGCTGCACACAATTTTTGTTGAAACGGTCACACAACCAACAACAGCAGCATAAGAAAGGAATGAGATATTTCTCTGCTCCTGCTCGGTAAGAGAGCCAAGACCCAGTGATGCTCCATTTTCTGTCGTCTCTTAAAATCCCATAGTATGCTTAAAGAAATAATCAAAACATTTCGAATAAAGAGTCGTTATCAACTCCAAAGAGTTTTTAATTTTGATATGATTCTACCCAAAATGCATAAACAAATGTGACAAAGAGTTCGTCCGATTGAGTTTTCGATAGAATATATCAAAATTGCCGCTCATTTGCATCGGTCACCTTGCGAAGGTCAAACATGCGTATATTGTTTGTTTGGGATTCACATTCTCTCTTCCTCCCCCATTCCGCCATCAATTATTAGTTGGTCATCTGTTGTTATGCCGGTTCAGAATACTCAGCCGGTGTATTAACATATTTGCCGGTCAGCTGATTTGACGGCGTCATTTAAATTAAAAGCTCATGTCACTGAAAATGATAGCAAGCTAACTGTGAATTGCTATTGTGAATTAATGTGATGAGTACATGATGAGATTTTATTTCATGTAAACTATTCACAATTACTATAAATTCTCCCCATATAGAATTTTGAATGAAATTATACCACAAACGATAATTATAAACGATAATTTTAACTTCATTAAAGGACTTATTAACCACTTTCTATACACATTATTCATAGACAAAAATGCGTAATCGGAACAGGTTAATATTAGCATCCAGAGTTTGATAATTTATAAAAATTGTACGAGTTTGGGTTTCCAAAGCCCTCATTGTAAATATATAATGCTGACAGGAGTTCCGACTTTCGGCTCACCTAAGCAAAGATAGAAAAATTAAAATTGTCGACAATTGGGCCCTGTCGCACTTATACGACAAATCGGTATTATGAAAGCCGTTACAATACGCCAAATTTGTCGTGAAAGATTCTGTTGACGACAGCATAAAAATAATAAGGAAAATAATAATAAAATATAATAATAATAAAAATAATTCTATTTTAACAATATTTACTGATTAACTGTTACATTTGAATTTATTTTATTGCATTTTCAATATTCATAAGAAAATTCAATATTGTCAGAAAATTAATTAGAAAACAAACAAAATGACATAGTTTTTCCAATACAATATAAAAAGGTTCTAAAAGTACAATTTTTGCTTTGGTTTTGTAATAGAGTAAAAGAAAAATCTACTACAAAATTTGGCGTTGTCGTAAATTTTACATAATACCGACCCAAGGTATATTTAATAAGGTAGCCGCATCGGGCCAGCTGTTGGACAAATAAATGTCAAAAATGTTGTTGTAATGTTGAACGAAAAAATTAAAAAACAAAATTATAAATGAAAATCTCCGAATTTCTAATAGCTTTTTTGGCAATACTTTTATTAACAGTTTCTACAAAAATTTGTGTAAAAAAATCTTGCCAATCTGTTTGTTTTGGCAAAATATTTTTGACATATCAAAATACAACAACCGATGTTTGTTGTAGAAATTCGCCGATGCGGCTACCTTGTATATCTACCTTGTACCGACCAAAAACGACTACGACGCATTTGACTACGCCTACGAGAGTTGCCGTATAACGATTACGTCTACGTAATAAGGGTGAATACCAAGATAATGCAATCAAGGAAGCATGACGTTGGTGCTCCCACATAGTGTCCTTAAAGTCCTAAAATTATATTATTTATAAGGACACCAGTTCCATCCACATTTTTTTTCCAATTAACTCCTCTCCTCCTTGGCTCACGTCCTATTTGGTGTTAGAATGTTCAGAGCCGTGTCTCCATGTGTAGCTTAAGCTACAAATTTGACTTTATCCATAGATGGTGGTTTGTGTTTTACAGGTTGACTTCGATCTTCTTTAAGAATTTGACCACAATGTTCAGACTTTCTAAGCCTTGTGTATCAGTAAACTCTTCTACTGTGAAGGAGTCACATAGTTGCGGGAAGCATCTTCTTTTGTTACTAAATTTACGAAATCTAAAATTTACATGCGCAGCTGTTTGGATTCTATTGAACGACTCGGACTTTATAGGTTATCCGTATTTAAAAACACACGTGTTAGTTAAGCGAACGCTTAACAACCGCCATTTTGAAAAAATCTATTTTTAAGCCCGTGGGCGTATAATACTCATTTAAACTTTTTTAGGTCACGTCTTTCTTGTGAGCCGTCCGAGGACGAACTCGTCCATCCACATTTACCACATGACTTGCACTGCACTTCCCCCTCTTAATAAAGTTAGAATTTTATTTTAAATTCTTAACCCTTTCAGTGTTTTTGTCGAATATATTCGACATTTAAAAGTACTCTCTTTCTTTGCAATTTTTCGGTTATTCTATGTACCGTTACTATTGATGTTTTTGTTTTTGCTGGAAGACAGACGAAACTGTCCGAGGGTTAAAATTAATACTGCTATTTTTTCTACTCTATGCCTTTATATGATTTTAAATACAAAACTTTAGATTTTTATTCCAACAAAAATTTTTTTGACACTGAAAGGGTTAATTTGAATTTAACATATTTTGTTAAAAAATATAACAAAATACAAATAAACATATATCTGAGATTACTAAAACTGGTTTCAAGAAAATTTCATGAGACACTCTTAGATTATCCCAATTTTACCACCTTGTTACTACAAATTTGTACGAGGATTAATTATTTCAACCTGCCTAATAGAGCTCAGTTCTTCTTGGACCTCACTCACAGTCTTTTGTAACCGAACTTTTGGGAATTTTAGGGTAACCTCACGTTTTCTGACGTTTTCAGATGAATAACCCTTATTAGTATGAATAACCCTTACTGGCGTTAAAACTACAGTGCCACAGTAGGTAAAACATAATTTTATACAATACTCACATGCCTTTATCTCCGAAATCATCTCCTAGGTGAAAGACTAGGCTTCATGAATTTGAAAATAAATACACACATTATATATTTTGTAATTATTTATTAAGGTTTGAATTTTTATTTGGATTTAAATCGATTTCAGTTTTCTTTTTTATTTATTAATATTTTTCTTTGTTGTTGTTGTGAATGTTGAAAACCAACTTTGTTTTATGGACTCCATCTTAATTGTTTTTTTGTTTGTAGCTATCAATTTATTTCGTATAAATTATTTTGTTTGATTTATTAATTATTTTTAATTTGTTTATGTCTAAGTAATAAGAAAGAAAAAAGGAAATTAATAACTAAACTATGTTGCATGCAGCAGCAGTATGATTTAATGATCATGATTAATGATGACGCGAAGGCATATTTAAAATCAATATTACAATCATACATATGGTGGTAAAGCTGATATTTGAAAACAAAACAAATCTAATAAGGCATATTTTTTTTAAGATGAAAGCAATCTAAGAACATTTAACAAAACTTTGAAAATATAAATATATTTTCATTTCGCTTTTTGTTGCTTCTTCTTCTTTTAACAAAATTCAATTTAATACATATTTATAAGGCATTTTATTGTAACAAATTCTCCCGAAAAATACACTTAATAAACAAAAGCAAATCATTTAATGGCAATGATGCTATTATTCTGTTATTTTTTATTTATAAATATATTAATTGTTTATATTGTATATTTATATAAGCCTTTTGGAACGGAACATTACAATGAAAGTAAATTATATTTAAAAAATAACATATCGTCATAACACTGTATTGTAAAATGATGACACAACAATTTGGTTACAATCAAATGTGTGCTGTGAAAGTCCTTCAGAACTCTAAGCTCCATAATTACTTTTTTTATTGTTATAATTAGATGGGCTGCTGTAAATCCATTTTCCACAAAATAAATCTAGTTGGAGATTTTTCATTCCCATCTTTGTCTGACGAACCAATTTGATGTGCCTTCAAATTGACTATGCAATGCCGTTTATGTATTTTTAAATATTTATGCAATAATATTTTTTGCTAGCTGTATGTGTATGACGCAATATAAATGAGAGTGCATGTATTTTTGTTTAATATTAGTTCATACTACCTGTTAAATTTGGACAGTTTCACCAAAAAAAACCGGATGTCAGGATATCAATGTAGTTGTCAAAAGTTACTTTAAAATCTGACAGAAATGATATACCGACCAACAGACTTAAATGCATTACAAAATTTATTAGCCATTGTTACAATTATTCCGAAAACCATTAAAAAATCTGTAGATATCATTATTTTATGTTCTTTACATTCTGATGATGACAATGGCTACTTAAATTTGAATACTTACTAAGAAATCAAAAATCATAGTTTTCATACATATAATTCACTTTTATGGTTTTGGTATTTTAAGATTTTTTTATTTATTTTTAATATAGTTTTGTTTTTAAGTTCTCTGGTTTTTAAATATTATTTTTCTTCAAGTAAATGTAGCTAAATAGCTGAATAATGATGTCATTATAAATTTAAGTCTTCTTTAACTAAAAGTTAAGCTAAAGTTTTTTCATTTTTTTTTTTATATTTTTTGTGGAAAAAAATCAACAAATTGGGAAAGATTTTGTTCTGTTCTTAATGGGGTTTTTGATTAAATAAGTCTGTGTATAAACTAAAAAATAATAACAGCTTGAAATTGCATTGATATTTAGGGTGGTCCCATACAAAAGAGAATTTAAAATTTGATCTTTTTTCAAAAAAATAGATCAGGAAATAACACAGCTTAACGCAAGGATTTTTGAGTAATATAGATAAATTTGTTTTTTTTCAGGTTGGGGAGAAGAGAACATCCACAGGACCACTCAAATACAATTCTCCTCAATGAATAAAAAATAGTCAATCATAATATTTTCAAAGTAAAAAAAAAAAAAATAGATTTATAAAAAATAAAACATTATAATTAAGTTTAGTAATGTATCAATCAATAATTATATCAAGGATACTAAATGTATAACCTCCTTTACAATAAGCATTGCGTTATTACAAAAAACAAGTTAGGTTATTAGCTACGATTGAATACAATTTGAAAAATAAGATAAAAAATAAAAAACAAAAAATTAAATTTATAAAAATATAAAAAACAAGAGTTCAGAAATAAATAACTTCGTTCGTTTTTTTTTTTAATTAGGATAAACAAAAATTGCAAACAATTTTTCTTGAATTTTAGCTGTTCTTCATTGTTGTTACGTTTTTTAAGTTTAAAAATTGTTGATTTGAAATTTTGTTGTTGTTCTGCTGTTTATTTTCTTCTTGATTTTTTTCTTCCTTTAAATATGAGTTGAGTTTTCCATTTGTTTGTTTATTATATATAAATTAATTTTGGATTTTTTTTATTAATTTTCTTATAAACACAAAAAAGAAAAGTAATTGCAATTTGGGTAAAAATTTGCGTTCATTTCTTTGTTTACTTCTAACGATGTTAATACAAATGTATATCATTTAAATAATGGTTGCGTTTCTGTTGTTTTGTTGTTGTTACGGTTTACTTGTCCTTATCTGTTTCGGCAGCAATTGGCTTCTTGTTGCCAATGGGAATGGCTGCTTTGATTCTGAAAATTGATAATAGAAAATTTGAATTAATATTTATTTTTTTGAAAATTTGTTAGTCAACTTACTTCTCAGTAACTTCAGCTACTTTGCTTCTGGCCAAATCCAAATAAGTGTCAATGGATTGTTTGTTGTTTTCATAGACCTTGGGCAATGTGAACAAGGAGACAAAGGCTGAAATTGAAAATAAAAAAACATAAGATAAGATATCACAATTTAGATATACAGTGAGTTATGTATTAACCTACATCAAATATAGAGCATCCATGGAAGGTTTAATATAGAAAAATTTTTATAGAATTCCTAAGTAAATACTTCCTATCAATATTAGGTAAATTATATATGTTCACTGTGAATGGCCTATAAATGATTTATCCTATGCAATAATTTTAGACATAAGCAATCTACAGATTTTTTATATTATCCAATATCTAGAGAACATAAATGCTACTGATTGGGAAAAACGCAGCGTATAGGGCAACCCTGCAGACAGTAGCAACAAGTAATGCGATGGAGAATTATCGGTAGAAAAGGAGAGAGAGGAGAAACGTATTTTCAGAATTAGAAGAAAGAACAAGAAAAACGTAAGCGTGAGCAAATCGAGATGTACCAAACCGAAGGCTTTGGTGCAGAGGCACATCTTCCTGTAGAGATGAAGAAGGAAACTTCGTGACAGATACAGACAGCGTGTTGAGGATATGGAAGCTTCTGGTATCAAATAGTAGCAGTGAAGAAGATTCCCAGAACCAATAAGAGATGACGGTATAGAGTGTATACCACCTAGCCAAGATGAGGTCAGAATAGCAATTAATCGGCTGAAGAATAATGAAGCAGTAGGTACCGATGGGTTATCAGCCGAACTATTCAAAACTGGTGGTCAGATGCTGGTAAGGAGCATGCCCAATGATTGGAACGTCAGCATCCTGTGTCCCGTGCACAAAAAAGGAAACAAGACAATATGTGCCAACTATAGAGGAATTAGTTTTCTTCCCATCGCATATAAACCGCTATCAAGTGTGATGTGTGAACGACTGAAGCCAATGGTCAATGGTATTGGAGCATACCAATGCGGCATCATAACTGACAAATCAACCATTGACTAGATTTTCACTCTGTGCCAAATCCTGGAAAAGACCCACGAAAAACACATCGACACATTTCACCTAATTCGTCGACTACAAAGCCGCATTCGACAGCCCTACCCGTTCAGAGGTGTTTAAAGCCATGACTGCGTTCGGCATTCCTGCAAAATTAATACGGCTATGCAGGATAACTTTAAGCGGCAGAAGGTCAGCAGTTAAAGTCGGAAAGGACCTATCGGAGCCCTTCAATACTGAACGAGGATTCATACAAGGTGACTGTTTGTCGTGTGGCCTTTTTAACATCCTGCTGGAAAGGGTCATACGAGAGGCAAAGGTGAACCAAACAAGTTTATATATACCTTGGTACGGCCATAAATAAAACTAATGAAATCAGTTTTAAAATTTGGAGAAGGATAGTGATGGCCAACATATGCTACTATGGTCTAAGTAAGCAGTTTAGAAACAAGGACACCAAGTTTTTCATTTCCAAGAAATACATAAACTATTTTTTTATTTATCTTTTTCCAACTAATATAATTTTTAGAATAATAATGCCTTGCTCTAAGATTTTCTAAAGGTCTATGTCTATGTTTATGGTAGAAATGAATATGAATAAATATAAAGAAATGAAAGTTGTCTACTAAGAACATTTTAAAAGGGAATGATATCCTATTTGTGGGCATCGTTTAGAATACATTATCCTTATTGTAAATAAACATAAAAACTCTTATCTCTCAAAATCGTCTATTTTAAATATTATCATCGTTATTTTACTTACCCAAAATAACCAATGTCATGCCATTGAACCAGGCTCCAATATAGGTCATAACCCACAAAATAACACCGAATTTAATGGAATCGACCAAATCTTCAACCAAGAATAATCTTCTCAATTCAGCTGTGAAACCATTTATGTGGGCAACAGCAACACCGGCAATATTTTGGATTTTCTCCTGTGACAAGGTCAAGTCAAATTCCAAGTATTCTCTGTTTGGGATATATAAAAAGAGACCATTAGTTGCTAAATATTGAAAAGAAGATAGATATGCACAACTTACTTGAAGGGATGTCCATCTGAGGTCTTTTGTATGGCTTGCATTACGGATTTGTAGATTCTGAATGCAATTGTGCCGGCCAAAAGCAGTAGTGACAAATAGGCGAAAACACTGATGACGGAGAAACATGAGATAGCCAAAAGGGTGACAAGGCCAGCACCAAAAACAATACCGGATTTTTTCACATCACGCCAATAGATGAGCGACTCCACTGTAAAGAAGGAGAAGATTAATTATTATTATTTTTTCGTTAAAAAAGGAAATGGTGTAGAATTTAGAATATATATTCTTGTAGAAAAATAGAAAAAACAAAATACATTTTCAAATATAGCAAAAAGAAAATGAGCGGAATTTTCTGTTGAAATAACAACAACAATGCCTGACTGGCAGCAAAAATAATAATATTTTGCACACATGCCGTCGCCGTAGTATGAAATGAAATTACACTCAAAATTTTGGTTGTTATTTTTTCTAAATTATGCAATCTCTACGAAAAGAAATATTCTTAATATTTTAATTGTAAGGAAAATTTGGGGCTTCAACACAAAACTATTTGTTTTCATAGTTATTACTTTTGTTTTGTTTTTGTTACACTGAGATAGATAGGTATTCGGGGTAATTCCAAAAATCTTAAGAAAGATCAATCCGTAGCAACAATTAAATATATATTACTTTTTTTTAAATTCTTTGCTGCGTACAAGTTAGCCAAATTTGAGTGACTGACGTATTTGTTCTCGTTGTCGTTTTCGTTGTTACTGTGTAGCCAGCCTGCCTGCCTTAACTTTATTTATTTTTCGTATGGGTGAAAATGTTTATTTTTGTCTAAAAAGCAGGAACACCGAATGGAGAATTCGACAGTGGGAAATTTTATTTTCTCCATGCTAGTGCGAGAGAGGAGAGAACAATTTAATTTGTTTTCATAGAGAGTGACGAGTAGGTATTTGTTCTTTTTCTTCACCGGGAATGTGAAACATTTCATTTCACGCCTCTTAGTTATGGGGCATTCATTCACATTACTGTGCGAAGTAGGGTATTTCCTTAAATACTTATTAATAGATTACAAAAACATGTATATTATTTACATAGCAATTTCTTTTATGATAAAATTTTATTATTTTAAAATTAGTTTATATTTCAGAAATAATACGTATAAATGTTTATATAAACTGCTCCCTAGCTTTTGAATCGATGTTCTTAATTCGTTATCCCGGTATACAGATAACTAATTCAACGAAGAACTGAGTTTATACATGTACATTTATAATCCATCGCCTCACCATTGCACGGGATAGTCTAATGAAGAGAGAAGCCCTCTTGCTGTCATTGGATGCTAACACAATAAATCGGCTATATCTCCAAAAATCGTAGAGATTTTCACTTGAAATTTTATAGGGAAACCGAGAATGGTGGGTCCCCTTAATGCAAACATTTTTTTGACAATTAAATTCCAATACAATAATTTCTTCATGTCATTTAAAATATTTAAAAAATCTGAAATTATAACAATGTGTAATGGATATTAAACACATTAACATAACAAATTGTTTTCAATTTCAATATTTGGATATGCATGTATTTAAAGCTGATTATGTATTCGTAACGCCCGACACGACTCACAGTCGTAGTACTTAAAAATTGGAACAAAAGCAAAAGTGCCGATGACTTCAAATAATAAAAAAAAAATTTGAAACTTTCTAAAAAAAAAAAATGAAGACTACTCATACATGAAAAATTTGGAACGCTGATGCAGATGTGCTGTGAATTAAACTCTTTTGTTGTCACGTTATTCAAATATGTGTGTTGCTAGGCGTGTTAACTTTGTATAGGGATTATTCAAAATTAGGTTATTTAATTTTATTCTATTTTAAAGTGAAACTTTATTAAATTGACGTCAGAGATTTCAGTGGGATAGATAGATAAAACTGAGGTATTTTGAACTAATTGGGACCTACAAGAAAGGGGTCAGGCGGTTTGATTGAATTACGATATGACTTAAAACTGTTACTGATTGCAACAAACATGAATATTTTCCATAGTTTCTGTGTAACGTTTTGGGAATGTTTTGAGTCACACTTGATTTACTTTCGGCATGACATAATGCAGTAGATATGCATAGAAAAAGCATATAAATGAATATTAATAGATATAAATATATTAACATTTGAATCCGAATAAATTAGCATTTTCATTTATGTTGGCTGGAAATCTGGTTTAAAAATTCAAACCTTTTAAGAAATTTGATTTATTATTTTTTTCGGTAGAGTGTGCAAGCTAAGAAAAGCCCACAGATGCGTGCATCTTAAATAGTTTCGAATTATTCTAAGTTTCAAACTATTCTAGTCGGTTCGTTAAACAATGTAAAGATGTGTGAAATTGTCTAAGGTTTAGATTGAAAATACACTTTTTTATTAGAACAATTGACTAACGTATATTCAGAATTTTTATTTTAAATTATATGGAATGGGGTAGGAAAAAGTCCCAATCATAAGTTCCATAAAATATTGTAAAATAATCTGACATAGACTATAAAGCCACATTCGACAGCCCTATCTGTTCAGAGATGTTTAATGTCATGCCGGCGTTCAGCGTTCCTGCAATACTGAACGAGGATTCATACAAGGTGACAGTTTGTCGTGTGGGCTTTTTAACATCCTGCTGGAAAGGGTCATACGAGAGGCAAAGGTGAACCAAACAAGTTTATATATACCTTGGTACGGCCATAAATAAAACTAATGAAATCAGTTTTAAAATTTGGAGAAGGATAGTGATGGCCAACATATGCTACTATGGTCTTAGTAAGCAGTTTAGAAACAAGGCCACCAAGTTTTTCATTTCCAAGAAATACATAAACTATTTTTTATTTATCTTTTTCCAACCAAAATAATTTTTAGAATAATAATGCCTTGCTCTAAGATTTTCTAAAGGTCTAGGTCTATGTTTATGGTAGAAATGAATATGAATAAATATAAAGAAATGAAAGTTATCTACTAAGAACATTTTAAAAGGGAATGATATCCTATCCTATTGTAAAATAATCTGACATAGACTATAAAGCCACATTCGACAGCCCTATCTGTTCAGAGATGTTTAATGTCATGCCGGCGTTCAGCATTCCTGCAAATTTGATACGCCTATGCAGGATAACATTAACTGACACAAGGCCTGCAGTTAAAATTGGAAAGGACCGATCTATTGCCGACAAGGTGACAATTTGTCGTGTCATCTTTTTAACATTCTGCTGGAAAAGTTGAACAGAAATGACACTCTGTACACAAAAAGTATAGGTTACTCGCCTAAGCCGATGACATCGATATAATGTGCCGAACATTGCGAACGGTAACAACCACCTTTAAACAAATTGAAAAGAACAAGTCTGCCAAAATGGGTCTGGCAGTAAATGGCGAGGAGAAGACCGAGCTGATGGTATCAGCGCGCAGTAGACTCAGACCAACTATGGAACTTGAGAACTACAGTTTCAGACTAACTATGGAACTCTACAAGACGCTGACACTACCCTTGCTGTTGTATAGATTTGAAACATGGGTACTTGCGCAAGCTGCAGATGAGGTACCTCTTGGAGTGTTTTTGAGATAAAAATTCTTCGAAAGATATAAATTCTACAAACCAAAATCTCTCAAGAAAGGGTCATATTTATTGTGACGCCTTAAAATATGCTACCATTTTTGTACGTGTTCCTATATTGATAACTTTTTGCTAAGATGTCTGCTCTGAACTGAAAAAGAGAAATGATTTTTAAGGATATAAACAAATTTTGAAAATGGTTGGTGTCGAATGTAAAATGAAACCAGTTAGGAAAATTCAAAAGTCGGACGGTGTCGTCTATATGATACTCATCACCACTTTGGGTACATACAAGAGATGTTCATATGTACAATATCCTTTATGGAGCTATATCGATAATGATTCCAACAAAGTATACTTATTTCTGTACGCTGTGCAAAATTTTGTGCCAATCGGCTTAAATTTGACTCGTTGGTGCTCCATTTGCATATATATGGGAGCTATATCTAAATCTGAACCGATTTTCTCCAATTTCTCCTTGGGCCAAATAAGTGACTTGTGCAAAATTTCATCCAAATCGGATTATAAATGCGACCTGTACTTTGTTCACGACTCAGAAAGTGATTCTATGCAAAAGATTCCGTTTGCCTGTTATTTCGATTCTTTTTGCCTGTTACAACCATATGCACAAAGAAATAATAACCTGTATAACAGTGTGGTGAAGGGTATAAAAAATTGATCGATATTAAAAATTATTACAGCCATCTCGTTGGTTATCTTTTATTAGGTTTAGATGAAGTGAATTATATATGAGGTGTGATATTTATAACATTTCAGATGTTATTTTGTTTATAGAAGAAATTTAGGATGTATTTTTCAGTAAAAAATATATAGAAGTCCCTCTGTAGACAAACTGTTTTTCCAACCGATTTAATATCTCCAAATTTACATTTCTATATAAGAAAGCTTCAGATGTTCTCCAACTCATTTATTTAGAATTCAACAAACCGACACATCGATAGAAAATTGTCAAACTTAAGAAATCGAACACGAAATAGGAAATTTATCGATAGTCAATATTTTATATTATATGGGTTTTCCAATAAGAGCTCTTAATGTGGCAATAAAAGAAAAAATTTCCCTTTTAATACATTTTTAGCTATGACGTAGTTTCTACTTGTCAATAATAAAATCAACTGAAATATAGAATAATTCAAGCTAGCATCTTTTGTAGGAAACTCCTATATCTGGAGAAAACTACTAAGTTTTATTGTAACCTTTCCGAGCTAATTTATTTTCTGGTAAATTTTTACAACTGCTTTCCCGAGTTTGACCCAACTTTATGTAAGGTTAATATTTTACCTATTATTTCAAAAAAATTGAAATGTTTTTATTATATAATTTATTAGATGAAATATAAAAATAACTTGGTTTTTCACTATCACTAGCTGGGACATAGCTCTGGCAGGCATCATCGTCAACAACAACACACAGATAACGCAAAAAAAAAGAATAACTAAAAATGGTACTCACAATAAATCTGCAAGAAAAAGCAAAAACAAAACATAACGAAAACAAATTTGGTGATGAGAAGGAGCAGGTTTGTTGTCAACATTATGATTATTATTGTTGTTGTTGCTGCTGTTGTTGTTATTCTATCATTTGAGAGATGTGATAACCTTGAATTAT